GCCTAAATGAGTCATAGTCAGGCACAGAACAAAAGGCACCTTGAAGTACGTAGCTGTAGGACAGATGCTTTGCACTTCAGCTTCCATTATCCTGACCCACATAACTTTCTCCCAGCCCCACTAATCCCCACATCTGAAGAACATGTGTTTTAGAGGGTGCTCTTGAAAATTATCTTAATTCTACTTTTATTTCCTTGATTACATGTCAGAAAGACACCAGAGACACTGTTCCTTCTCTGAAGTCTTCATTGAGTGTAGCTAGCCTTTGCACGCCATATTAGAACCGCCATGCTGTGATGGTGGAAATATTTTTAAATATTGATCACAGAAATGAGGATTTTCAATGCGCTTTGGCTTCCCAAAGTGTAGATAACTCTAAAATGCTTTTGAACTACCAATCGGCAAATTCTAATAACCTTTTAAAATTTGCCTGCATAAGTTGCACTAAATTAACTTATTTTGAATTTAGGGCATTGTATCAGTGTACTTCAATTGATTCAGAAAGAGTTGCTAGAATGTTTGGTGTACATTCCATTTGAATTTTTGGTCCATGAATTTTTGTTCCATTACTTAGTTTGATTGTTTTGTTTCATACGAATTATTAATTCATTTTAAAATAATTGAATCACATCAGTCAGGACTTTCTAATATCCTGTTAATTCTATTTATTACATGAAATATTCACTAAGAATTTGAGGTTAATCATTTTTTTTGTGATCCATTGTCTCATAGAACTTGTATAAATCTGATCTGGAATGGCTCCGTGGGATTGGCTGGATGCCGGAAGGCTCTGTGGATGTGGTCAGAGTGAAAAGAGCTCAAGATCTCATAAATGAGAGGTTGTACAAACTACGCCCGGATGCACTGAAATTTACCAGCATACCTGATCCACCCCCTGTTGTCCTGGCTAAGGTCAACGCACAACAGATCAGTGAGGTAAACTGAAATGTAGTCACTACCTCTGTGTAATGTGGTTGAAATACAGTGGCCTTTAAAAAAATTAGAAGGATTTTCACAAAGCAGCGGATAATTGTCTTTCCTTTCTCCCTCTTTTAGAACCTGTATCGGGAAGCATGGGATAAAGAGAAGGCACAGATTAATATTCCTCTTGATACCCCGGAAATACTGCTCTCCAAGATGAATGCTGTGAATGTTAGCCGTGTAAGACAATTTTATTTGTTAATTTATAATCAAATTTAAACAGCTAGTGATCTATCAGGTGAAACTCTGAGCAGTCAAAATACTATGTAGATATTAACAATAAAACACGAATGGCAAAACATAGGTTGAGGCTTTCACATTAAAAATGCAAAATGCTTACAACATGCATTCATGTCAGGTCTCCCATAGCAACCTCCTGGCCGCCAATGCTTGGGGTAAGAGCCAAGTCTTTCTGTCCTTCTGAAAGCAAGTAATGTTGGAGTTGAATGTTGGGGAAAAGCTGTTCATGCCTGGAAAGTCTTGCTTCCTTGGTTCTTCCTAAGTCGTATCCAGGGGTGGGATTCTACAGGTTCGCACCTATTCGCTAGAACTGATTGTTAACATTCTAAGCAATTTGGAGAACCGGTTGTTAGAAGAAATTACTGGCCTAATCCTGTAAGGAAGGCAGGAAGGAAACATTCTGGTGTTGCTTACAGAATCTGCCTCTCCGTTAACCCTTATTACATTCTTGGCAGGACTAGACTTCCTGTCTCTGGAACTTGTCTGGAGTTTTTCCCCCTCCTTTGCTGGTACTTTGCTTGTGTGGAGTGACCATTCAAAGTTACAGTGGCACTGAAAAAAGTGACTTTTTCACACTTACAACTGTTGTAGCATCCCCACAGTCATGAGAGGCCTGGCAAGGAGATGCATGCCTAGATGTGACTGATATTGAGTTGGCCACGCCCAGCCAATAACATGACCACCAAGCCATGTCCACCCAGTCACATGACCACCAAGCCACACCCACCACCTAAGCTATGCCCACAGAACCGGTTGTTAAAAATTTGAATCCCACCCCTGGTCATATCAGATGCCTTTCCAAAGGGCCCAGAATATGCTCAGAGCCGGATTTGGTGGGATAGGTAGAAACCACTAGAGATAGACTATCCCACAAGTAATTTGGACCTTAGCAACATAAAGGGTTAATAGCAACAATAACTGGAATTGCTCCCAGAAGCCTTCTGGCAACCTTCTGGCAGCTAACATAGCTATGTTATTATATAAGTGTATTTATATGAGTCTCCCAGTGCTGTATGTGCCACCATATTCAGGAGCAGCTGAACCTTCAGATTTCTTTTCAAAAGCAGTCCTATGCAGAGCACATTTCTATAATCTAACTGGGTGGTGAGTAAGTCATGAATGACCAATCTAGGAAGGGGGTGCAACTGGCACACAAGATGTACTTCTGCAAAGGTCCTCCTGGCCATAGCAGAATTCTTTGAGCAGAATCTGTGTGCCCTGAAGGATGCCAACATTGAGCATCTACTCTTCCTTGGGGAATATTCTCCCATTTAGATTTAACAATGGAAAATTACAAGATATGGGTGGCCATAAAATCTACAGATACTCAGGTGTGTTATGATTTAGTCAAGGCAGTTCATCCCCTTCCAGTCTGCAAATCACCAGCCGCTGGGAAAGTACTTTAATAGCATCACTTGCATGGCACGTGACAGAGATGTACAATTGAGTGTCTTCATCCCTGTTGATAAAACCTCATCTTGTGCCAGTGGGTAAAATCTGATTTAGACATTAATTAGAAGTGTGGAAAAACATGGAAGAGCAGAGGTCAAGGTCTGGATATTTCCCGAATCAGAAATCAGCCATGGAAAAATGAGACCCACAGCATCATTCTTCTCCCAATTTTGTCTGTTATCCTGGGAGGATACCATGATCGATGATGGTTTCTGAAGCTATTGAGAGGATTTCGAGATGGCACAAGGGAGGTGTTTTTGTTTTGTAACTTTGGTTGACACGTTGCATCTTGTTCTAACGATGTTAGTGTACCCAAAAACATTGTTACTTTAAGTGTTAGGTCTCCCCCTCTTACATAGTTACATTATTGCCAATTCATAATAAATTCCATTTGGTCTATTAATATAAATCCATAGTATTAATATTAAACAAGTAAAATTGTTACATGCATATATACATCCATAAATATGCATGCATATACTGAATTTATGCAGTGTCCATCTGATTATTTTTTCTGAAAATTCAATTTTTTCACATATTTCACTGCATTTGTCTATAGATGTCTTCTGAAGGACAGTCAAATAAAC